GTTGCCTGAAGTGTTGCGACACGTTTACCTGAAGCGTCCTCTTCCTCTTCACTTGGACATGATTCCCAACTGGAAACAGAAGCAGTCCCGCATTTGGTTTGGCTTCAAACAAGGACTGCCTTTTCATTTGTTTTGGTTCCTGCTTGTTTGTACCTTATGTGAGAAGTTGTTTACACTATGGAGAGAAAAAAAAAACACACTTTTGTTTTTCTGTTCAACATTTTAGAATAAAAACCAAAATGATCAAACGGTTTTAGCTCCTGTCATGTTTTAAAGAAGAGATCAATCGTGGACGCAAAGGAGGGCTAGACGGAACAGAGGTAGGTAGCATTGAAGAACAATAGTTTTTGTGAAAATTTATTCATATCTGGAAAATTAAATTAAGTCCTGAACTGCATCCAAATGTCCCTTTGTCTGCGCATTGATCAAATATTAAATCTTTTCTGTGAAATTAAACTCAGCTGCTTGTTAAATGACGGTAACAACAAATTTGAAAATATGATTAAATATGTGCTGGTTAGCATAACAAATTATACGTTTTTAAGTGACTTGACATAAAGAAGCGAACTACAAAATGGGGATATTTTTAAGAGCGCTAGTTGCGTTTGTTGGACCATTCAGCTGCGCTAAAAATGTAATTCACAAGTCAGTTAACTACTTATCAATTGCAAATGTGCTAAAAACTTTATGAATATTCCACTAATGTCAAAAACAATTTCGAAACGCAATTAAAATCACGTGAATAAGTTCGTCAACGAAATAACTAAAAAATAAAATGCTGTCACTGCACGTTGTCTCATTTGAGCATGCGCTGAAGAAATACTACCGGATTATTCTTACAACATATCAGTTATTTACATTAATAAAAATACTTGTTCTAAGAGGACAGACATGCAGCTGTCACCCAGTTTACTATCCTCCGGTCACTTCCTGTCTTCGTGGGTTGAGCCAGTGGCAACATCCGGTTGTTGATCATGTGTTGTGAAAAAAGTGTTTCTATGGCAGGTTTGATAATTAAAACACATTTAATAGTCAAAAAAAGTTTAATTTGAAATTGTCAAATTGCGCAGTTATGTAAATGGAAACGCAGCTATTAGGGCAAAAGAACCAGAAAATATCGTGATGAAATTTTAAGTCCATATCGCCCAAAGTACAGCTTGTACAATACATGTTGCCCATCCGCCTCCAAAAAAAAAAAACTGAACGCACAATGTCCAAATTTGTTCCCAGTTTACCATTTTCTCTCCGTGATCTCATCTGAATTTTGAAGTTGTTACTTGCACTCTCTTATACTGGTCACTAGATGGCGCCATATGGCAAAGAACTCACAAGTTGGTCACAATTTGGATATTTTCACTCACGTTGCCAGAGGTTTAGACAATGTCTTATCATGAAAAGCTATAATAAAATATTTACATCCAGTTTAAAGAAATTTATTAACATAATCTTTGACATTTGTTCGTCTGGAAAGGGTTAACACACATATACATATATATATATATATATATATATATATATATATATACATATATATATACATATATATACATATATATATATATACATATATATATATATACATATATATATACATATATATACATATACATATATATATATATATAAATAAAAATTTCAGGCGAACTGAAGTGAGAGCCAATATCCAAATGGAGAAAATGTCAAAGTGGTGAAGCTTCCCAGGAGCGACCGGCTTGCAGCAGCTTCTAAAGCTCAGCAGGTTTCACTTGCTGCTGTAAAGGTCACTGTTCATGATTCAATAATAAGAAGGGGACAAAAATAACCTCAGAGGGCGAGATCGAAGGTCCAAACTACTGAAGATAAATAAATGAGCGTGTCTTATCTGCCAAAAACTTCTTGATGTTTGGGAAAACATGAGACAAATTTGGAAGGTTTGGGTGTAAATCTGACAGTAACTCAGAAAGAGACATCCAACATAGTAAAGCATGGTGGTGGCCAAGTGATGGCCTGGGCTTCTGTAATGAGAACGAACCTTGTGAGGAGGCAGATGGTTCATGTGAATCAGCAATGCTCAAAGTATAAAAACAATTTTTATTCCAAAATGATAGTTGCATATTATTGGGAAGTTGAGTGGAAGAAAGAACTGCAATAGAAAGCGGTACAAAAGCAACAGGGATTTGGGTTGTTTACTTCTGTTCATTTTGATATAAAATTTATGAAAATCCAAAGTTAGCTTGTGAATCCCTAACCCTAACTTTCCATAAATATGCCTGTATGCTGCTGGAGCCATTTTTTAAAAATAATTTGATGGTTTTATGCAATAATCTAATATTTTAATGAATTGTAAGCAGGGCATTCACAGGTGCAACCAACTACTTTTTCACAATGGGTTTAGGTTTAATAAATAGAACTGAAACAATTGTGATACATCTATTTTTTTAAATAATTGTCGACTAATTTAGTAATCGATTATAGGTTCAAGTATAAAAACTCAAAAAGTTGAGTGGAAGAAAAAACTGAAAGGATGCATCAAGCAACAGATGTTAATTTCTGTTCACTTCTAAATATATGAAAAATTCACAATTTAATATATCAAAATTGAAATTCCTTGTGTTGCACTTTTTCCTTCCACTCAACTTCACATCAGTATGCTTGAATACTGCTGCAGCGTAGCTACAAGATGTTTCAAATAATTTTAACGTTAATAAACTGTAAGCAGTAGTTACTCGCTTTGCTTTTCCATACTGGATTTTTTATTTGCATTTCTTTGTCGATCTGAAACACTTTAAGTTTCAGTTCAACACTTCTTGCTACGTTACCCGAGATGATCCTCTCGTTCGCCACCTGGGGAGGCAAAGCGGCAGCAGCAGAGCGGAGTCAGGCCATCGTTATATCATTGTTTTATTACTATCATTGTAATTTTTCATCATGTCGTCTTTGCACAAAAAAAAAACAAAAACAAATACATTTTCTTAAGGAGCTGATCGTCCCTCCCCAGAGAAAAAAAAAAAACAGAACAAAAAGTAATCCCACCACTACAGTTACACTTTCCTCAAAACACATTTAAAATCAATGTAAATTACAGCAATGTAAAACGTAAATAATGCAAAATAAAAATCAACCCTGAAAGAGATAATATAACAGCAACTGGCTGAATAATAATAATAATAATAATTAGAATCCAACACCCAGCACCTTAAAACAATGATTTTAGAGAAACTGACGTATTAAAAGCTGAAAGGAAAAGTGTTGAGTTAGGTTTGACTAACTGAGGCTTCCTCACTGATCTCAGTTCATTTCTGAAGCTAAAGCGTCAAACGCAAACCAGAGTCCGCTTGGGTGTTCTTCTTCTTCTTCTTTTTAGGTTTTTATTCTTTTTCCGAGAAACTAAACTTTCTCCATCTGCTTCAAGCCATTCTGCACCAACAAAAGGCCTTCTTTAACAGAGTAAAAATAATAAAAATAAAAAATAAACCAGCAGTAGTCATCATCGCCACCACCACCATCATTAAATAGGTCAATAATCCAGGGAGGGTCGGTGTTAATCTGTGTTAAAGGTGCAGTACACCAGAAAACAAAAACGAAAAGGCAGCAATGATATGATCCGAAAATCCCACCCTGCCCGCCCGCCCGCACAAATCTGTACAAATCCCCAATAATTTCAACGACACAAAAATATATTATCAAATCAAAAAAAAAAAAAAAAAGTAGAAGAAAATAATTCACCATTTGTCGTCAATTACCTTTTTTTTTCCTCGTTGTTTCCAGTGATCTTCTATAACACTCATCCTCCAAAGAAACAAAAACAAAAAAAAAACACGACTTCCTGTGAGTTTGCTCTTTGGGAAACCTCAACAAGCGGGAGGAAGAGGAAGATGGCTGACATTCTGGAGATGAAGGCATGAAAACAACCAATTGGAGGTGAGCGGGGATTCCAGGGGCACAAATAAATCGCTCGAGGACGAGGAAATGAAAAAGCCCCCCCGAATTTAAATTCTTCTACGAAAGGCAACGTAAAACCCTCCCCATCTTGTTCCAGTGCACAACTCTTACAACGACAGAGTATTAGAGCCATGCTGAGAAAAACAATAAAACTATGACAATAAAGTCAGAATATTAACAAAATAAAGTTAAAATGTTACAAAAATAAAGTCGTAATATATTGAGAATAAAGCTGAAATATCACAAGCGAAGGTTGTAATGCAAGAATAAAGTAATAAGAAAATAAAGTTTGAGAATAAATTCATATTACGAAAATAATCAAGAAAATAAAGTTTATGAGAATAAATTCATATTACGAAAATAAAGTAATCAAGAAAATAAAGTTGTAAAATTACGACAGTAAAGTCATAATATTACAGAAATAGTCGTAATACGACTATTTTGTGATACAACTTTATTCTCATAATACTACGACTTTTTGTACGAATTCTCAATGATTATTTTCGTAATACTACGGCTTCATCTTGTAATACTACGACTTTTTGAACGAGTTATCACAACTTTTTGTACAAATTCTCATAATGATTATTCTCGTAATACAACTTTTGGTACGAATTCTTATGACTATTTTTGTACGAATTCTCAACTATTTTTCGTAATACTACGACTTAATCCTGTAATATACGACTTGTTGTAAGAGTTCTCCATTTTCGTAATACTACAACTTTATTCTTGTAATTTTACTTTGTTTTCTTAGCGTGGCCGTAACACTCTGTCGTTTATTATAAGCCTTTTAAAAAAAGAAGAAAACAAACGTAAAGATGGCGGCTGCAGAGAAACCAAAACGGAGTGAGAGAGGTGAGAGAGTTCGGATGTGTTTGTGCCGAAGGCGGGGAGAAAACGAAGGCGGCAGGACGGGGACAGGGTCCCTTCGCTTGTCGGGACGAGTCGGAGCAGAACCCGAACCGAACTCACCAGCAAAATAAGGCTCAAAAGATCGCTTTCCCCACCAGAACCGCCCGACAGCAGAACCGTGCAGAAACCGAATAAATACAAGGAGGAAAAACTGGAGTGGTCCGAGTGATCAAAGTGCCTCCTAACGAAAAAACAGAGAAGAATCAGACATGCAGAAGAGTGGAACGTCTCAGCAGAAGATGGCGGCCATCTTCTCCGTCTGCAGGTCTCAGAACCGGCAGCCCTACGTTGCTTCAGACTGTAGTCTAGACAACAATCATGTTTTTAAAGTGATCCCGCTCCCCGCCGCTGGCATCAGCCCGCCGCTGCCGCCGCTCACAGTTTCAGCTCGTTGGCGATCTTTGAAGCAATGTTCTTGAAGGCCATGGACGTTCCCGAGATCCGCTTGAAGCGCACGCCGTTGAGGGAGAGCCGCGGCAGCTTGCACACCTCCATCTCCCACTGGACGAAGTCGTCGTGCGCCGGGTTGCCCGACATGCACAGCAGCATGTAGCGCTCGCGCAGCTCGTACTCGCAGCTGTTGGAGTCGAGCACCTTGCGGATCTCGCGCATCATCTCTGTGGGCTCCATGGACGACGTGGTCTTCATGGACCAGGTGAAGCGCAGCGAGCGCGGCTTGGCAGCGTCCTTCTGGCTGGCGTTGGCCGGAGGCGTGCCGGTGCCACCTGCAGGCGGACCAAGGAACAACAACGTTTCACCTTTTTTTTTTTTCTTCCGTAAACCATGAGCGCCTTTCTACAGCGGCGTTTTAGGGTCATTACAGATAGAAACAACTGAAATAACTGAACGAGCTGAAGGCATTCTGTCACCCACCGGTGTTTCCGGAGCCGGGCGAGGAGTTGTTCTCGTCGTTGTTGGAAGAGGAGGAGAGAACGCCGCCGGAGGTTTTCTCCGACTTGTCTACAGTACTGCTCAGCACGGATCTGTGAGGAGCGACGGGAGGGAGGAAGGGAAAGACGGAGAGGAGGAGCAGGAGGGAGAAGAGAGAGGAAAGTTTAAGATTTAAGAGGAAAACCGTAAAAAAAAGTGAAGTCAGAACAAGGAGCAGGTGGGGAAACATGGAGGAGAAGCAAAACCGATGAGGATGTGCAGATGATGAAGATAAACTTCAACGCTCCTCCGTGTGTGTTGGTGCGCATCGTGGTTCTCTCTGGGTTTTTGGACCGATTTGTTGCGCACAAACACACATTTCGGAGCCTAATAAATGATTTCCCCTCCCCCACTCTCCCACACACTCATGACCATGCAGCTCACCCTCCACGCCATCGCTGTCACTCTCTACCGCTAAAAATGGCCGCAGCCCCCCTGATTGGACACCAGAATCACCATCACCAACCAATTACAGCTCCCCTCTCCCAGGCGGTCGTCTACTGATTAACAGGAACTTTGCTACAATCTGAGGGATTATTTAATCTTCGGTCGGGTCGCTCTGTGTCTCACCTGCTGCCCTCATCCCGACCCTCTCCCTCATACGAACTCCTCGGAAAAAATCAACACAAGTTTAGTTTTTGCTCAAGTGTTTGGGGGAAACATTCAGGTTCTCATAGATAATTACAATAATAGTAATAAAAAACAAACATTGTTTTCTTCACCATGCCGTCCTGAATGCTCCAGTCCAACCATCAACTATTTATTTTCAACATTTATCAATTAGAGTCGCTTTGGATTACACTGAGAAAAAATGTTTTAAAAAAAATTTATTTCAAACTGTTATAAATGGACATTTTGTCCTTATTTGCTTATTGTTGAGAAGGTAAAGTAATATTTAAAAAATTACAACATTTTGGGTGATTTTAGTTTTAAAAATGATTTTTATTTTAGCTGATTAATTTTTAGCCCACTTTGACAAAAAGTTTAGACATCAATGGTTTAGGATTTTAAGATTGAGGTTTTTAAATGTAATAATATTTCATAATGTTTTTAAATCAACGCAGGAAGTTTTGAATGCACCTCAAAGCTTCTCATAAATTCACATTTTTCTTAAAAACATCTCATCTGATCTTTGGGTTCGCAGTCAGCAAAGTTTTTAAAAAATGAGAACGAAAAAAAGCCTAACCCTTTGAGCTCTCATACAGTTTTATTAAAAATAAAATGCCTAATATGAGAGCACCTACTGTATTTCTGTCAGTTTGAGAGTTTCTTTAAGTGATACTTTATTTAAAAGGAGAAGAAGTTAACTTGTTTTGAGCCTGGAGCTCAGCTGCTTCACAGAATCAAAATGCAAACAGGAAGTGATGTTAAAATGCTTTTACCGTCACATTTTTAAGAATACAGAAATACCAAGGTACAACTTTTTCTCAACTTGAGCAGCTCTACTCATCCTAGAGATGCTTTTTAAATACGTTTAAAACACTATAATTAAATAAGTGAGATAATCGTAACAAGTTGGACCAAATGAGAGGCTCTTTGGATGAGGGGTGGACAACCAGGGCGGCATGGTGAGGGGGCGACGTTAGGAGCATGAATGACCCCAGAACTGGAGGTTAAACCAACCTGTGTTAGTAATACAATGGACCTACACACAGTCTAAACACACACAAACACACACACCATCTGCGCTCACAGCAGCAGACAGGACAGGAAACAAGGAGGACAGACAAAGACAGAGACAGGACGAGACACATCCAACAGTTTGACGTCTGATTCCTGGTGGCTTCGTAACAGGAAATATAATATCTTAGATTTTAAACACCACCAGCAACATTTACTGCCCCCACACCTAAAAAAAAAAAAACGTGTTGAAAGCTTTAAAATAAATTCAGCTTTTACTGCAGCAGAACCTCAGAAAAAAATTACTTATTCAGTAGAGAAAAGTAAACAAAGGATTAACTGACTTTAAAGTTTGTTTAGCAGTGGGAGCTGACGGCATTGTCACAAGAAGAAAGGAAGCTAATAAAGAAAGCTTGACTAGCAGTGACTGCGTCTCCAATCTGATGGGACGTGTAGTCAGAGCTGAGAGTGATGTGATGCGAGACTTCTTTCATAATTTCAAACTTTCAGCTAAAGCTTCAGCTAATTCGTCTGGCTTCTTCGGGTTCAGATTTATGATGAATGTCTCACCTTTTTCACGCAACTGTGGGATAAAATGCGACTGCAGACTCTTTGAAAACAATCTGTATCTGACTTGGTGCCACATCTGGAAGTGGTAAAAATAAAACTTTTTGTGGAGAAAAGAGCCAAATTCTGCCATTCAGATTGTGATGAAAAGGTTCCCCTGCCGTGTGAACGTAGCTTTACCCGCCTACGACAAATCTGATTCAAATATTGTTTCTGATTAAATTTATAGAAAGTCAGATCAGCTTGAAAAATTAAAAAGTATAAAGTTAGAGTAAATACATGTACAAAAGTCAGTTTATAAAAGCTGCATTTATTTTAAGGCTTTTCAACATCCCAGCTGAAAGCCAATGTACGTATCCGACACTGAAAATATATTTTAAATAAAAATATGGGAGTGAAAGCTGTAAAATAATTAATTTTAAATCTATTTAAGAACACCTTAAAGCTGTTCTCCCAGCAGCAGAATAAACATCTTTTTAGATACCGAAATAATCTCACGTTAACACAGACACAACATGTAATACAAGCTCTGACCAGCAGGTGGAGCAGTGTCCCGCACCAAGTGCTAGCATTGCTCTACCAGCTGGCTGAAACAAACCAATGCAAGGGTTAAACAACTTCTCTCGACATGCTTTTTGCATTTCCAATGAACACAAACATGTGAAAAGGTGTGAGCGAGTAGATCCACATGTTTAAATGAAGAGATAAAAAAAAAAAAAGGTTGTTTTATTTCTTTTCCAGCCACAGTTGCTCAAAGCCATCCAGGTCTGTTGCTGCTGCTGCTGTTGATGTTAGAGAGCCAATGCCAGGAGTGAGTGAGTGAGAACAGAGATGAATGTTAGGGGAGAAAAAGCCTGAAGGCACTGCGGACCCGTCCCTCCGGGGTCCTCTCCTCTGCTAAACCGACCAGAGCTGAAAACAAGCCAGGCGGACGACCCGGCGTCGCTATCTAAGCTGATTAAGGCACAGGGATGTGATGGGTGATGGTTTGAAGGAGTTAGCTTGGATTAAAGGAGCATTAATAAATACTGGGGGGAAAGGTCACAGTACTTATCTACTATCATAAAGTGCTGAGGGGAAAAAAAAAAACATTTGATCCTCAAAGAGATTTTTCTTTTTTTTTTTTTTGGTCACAATTTTTCAGATCATCCAACAAATTCTAACAAAGATGAAACGAGTAAAATAAAATAAAAAACTATCTATGCTCATATGTGGCAAAGTAATTAACCCTAAACCTTAGGGTGAATTCACGCCAGCGCTCATAAGCCTGCTTTAATTCAACTTTAGTTCGTTTGCACTGAAAGTCCGGTTTGTTTGGGGAAGTGTGAATCAGAGTCTGATGTGGACCAAAACGGTGAACTCAGGTCTGGGTTTGCTTGACGTGAACTCTGCCCCAGTTTGAACGCTTATGTGAAATACTGACCCTTTGCAATACTGGACAGACGTCAAAACAATCTGCACGCTCCTATAAGTAAATAGGAGCGTGTATAAAAGTGACGTTTATGACTTAACCTCACAATACGAGTCCCAAAAACGTAGAAATGGTCTATGTGACCCTCTCCAGACTGACGGATCTAGTTTTAATCTTTTCATTTCTATAGAGCAGGGGCATGACTTGCAGCTTTCGCCTTTTTCTTGGCCTTCAGGCTCTATTAAAGTGATTTTGTGACTTTACACAAAATGACTGCTTCAGGCTTCTGAATGTGATAAATTCATGATATGACAAGACGGGGACGATTATATTTTCACACGGGAGTCAAGTTATCTTTTCAATAAATTAAATCATTTTGTGTTGACTCGACTTATCTTTATCTGATTCTATATGATCTGAAATGTTTGTGACAAAAAAAAAAAAAAAGCAAAATCAACAATCTGTTTTTATTTCTGCAACCATTTCTCCTTGGTTTTGGATTTTTAAGAGAAAATGTTTTCACATCTAGGAAGGCAGAGGTTTGGGCTTAAATCTGGGATTTTTGCAGACGATCCGAGCTCTCACACATTCCAGCCGGATGGTAAACAGGATGGGGGGGGGGGGGGGGGGGGGGGGGGGGGGGGGGGAGGGGGGGGGGGGGGGGGGGGGGGGAGGGGGGGAAGGGTTTTGTCGCCTGAGGGGGGG